CGCGGCTCGGCTCGGCACGGTTTGGCTTGGCTCAGTGCTGCTCAGGATGTTCTGCTGCCTAGGTAGGTGCGTTCAGTGTTGCTTAGTCTGGCATGGCTCAGCTCAGCTCAGCTAGGGTCATGATGGCACCCAAATAGATTCAGTTCAGCACAGCTTGGGGCATTTTGCCAGCTCAGTAGACATGGCTCATCTCGGTCAGCGCAGCTCAGCTCAGCTCAGCCCTGCTCAGGACATTTTGCCACCTAAGTAGGCACAACTCAGCTTGGTCCAGCTTGGCACAGCTCAGCTCAGAACAGCGCAGGACACCGTGCCACCTCAATTTGCACAGCTCAGCTCAGCACAGACCAGGAGATGATGATGTGCCAGATAGTCACAGTTTGGCTTGACTTGGCTTGGCTTGGCCCAGCTGAGCACAAGACATTGTGCCACCTCAGTAGGCACAATTCACCTCAGCTTGGCATAGCTCAGTCTTGCTTGGGACACGATACCACTCATTTAAGCTGAGTTTGGCTTGGCCCAGCTCAGCTCAGCTGAGCCCTGCCCTGCCCTGTACATTGTGGTACCTCAGTAGGCATGGTTCAGCTTGGCACAGCTCGGTTCGACTCAGCTCAGAACATTCTGCCACCTAGATAGGTGCAATTCATCTCAGCTCAGCTTGGTTCAGCACAGCTCAGGACAGTCAGGACACTCAGGTAGACTCAGCTCAGTTTGGCCTGGCTTAGCACAGCTTGGGATGTCATACCACGTACAGGACAGCTGAGCTCATCTTGGCACAACTCAGGACAAGGCACCACCTAGGCAGGCACAGCTTAGCTTGACATAGCTTAGCTTGGCTTGGCTCAGCACGTCTTGAGACATCATGCTGCCTAAAGAGGCACAGCTTAACTCAGCAGAGCTTGACATGGCTCAGCATGACTCAGCTCAGCATGGCTTAGGACATCATGGTACCTAGGCAGGCACAGTTCAGCTTGATGTGGCTCAGATCTGCTCAACGCAGCTCAGCTCAATTCATCTCAGCCCAGCATGGTTCAACTCGGTTCAGTATGGCTTGGTTATACAGCACCGACAGCACAGCTCAGCTCAGCTTGGTTTGGCACAGCTCAGCACGTCATGCCACCTAGGTAAGCACAGTTCAGCTCAGCTTGGTTCAACTTAGCTCAGCTTGGCTTGGTTTGGCCTGGCACAGTTTGGCTCAGGCAGAGCTTCCTGGCAGGAAGTGCCATGGCATCCAGGGAGGCTTGGCAGGAGGGAGGCTGCCTGAGCCAGAAGCAGTGCCACCAGCACCCACACCCCGTGGGACAGGGGAGCACAGGGCATGGCCACCATCAGGGCCAGCCCTCAATCGGGTCCCCCTGCACAGGGCAGCGCCCTCAGGCCCTGCTGGGGAGCACCAGAGGAGCAGTGGCTGCCCAGCTCCTGCTTGCCTTGGCCAGCCATGCTCATTTCCTCAGTGCCCAGAGCAGGCAGGTGAGGTGTGAATCTCTCCCAGCTGCTCCCTGTAACTTGGGGACAGTGACTCCAGGGGGATCCCAAACCATTTCTCACACCCAAAGCAGGCAGTGCTCTGCCACTCACATACCTGGTGTGATTCTGGGGCTGCAGCAGGGTGAGCCATGCTGGGAGTTCAGGTCCTGGCTTGCCCCAGCGAAGCCTGGGGAAGCCCTGCCATGCAGTGCTGGGTGCCAGGTCCGTGCCACCTCTAGCAGCTACTGGCAGGAGCTCCCTGCACCACCTGGCTGGGGGACAAAGTCCTCTCCTTCCCAGGTTAATTACACAGGGTAATTGCTGCCGCTGGGCTCGCTTTATTAAGCACCTGCTTTAATATTTCACCAAGTCTCCGTACGCGGTGATCCTTCGTGCGTCCCTGCCGTGGGCCTGACTCTTGGGCACTCTCTGGGCTCTCACGTGCCATCACCAACACCTCTCCCTCCCTGGTGGAGCCAGGCCCTGCCAGCTGTGTTGCCATCAGCACCAGCTGCCCCACCAGACCCCCGAGCCCTGTGGTGGTGACAGCACGTGCCAGGGATGCCTGTGCCATCCTTATTGGAAACAACCTTCCTGGTACTGGCAGAAAACCACATTTCATCAGCGGAGATGGCAACAGCTGCAGAAGTACAGCGTGGAACAGGCTGGGGTGGTTTGGCTGGAGTGTGGTGGTGTCACCCAGCTGAGTTTGAAGTGCTCAAGGGAATGTTGGGAAGCTGGCAAGGTAGAGGAGGAGGAGGGATGCTCCCAACAGCATGGCCGCGGGCTCTCCCACAGGAATCTGCTTGCTTGCAGCCCTGGGCTACTGAACCTGGTGAAAACAATAGAGGTGACCACAAAGCAGAGCCTCAGGGAACTTAGGCTCTGAAGAGGACCTGGTTAAACCTCACCACACATCACTTCACCAGGGCTTGAAAAGTGCTGTTGGAGAAAGGTTGTTTTCTATGAGAGGCCATCCCTCACTGTGCTGGCCAAGCTGGAAGTGCTGGAGCATGCAAAGGAGTGAAATCAGGGATATGGTGCTTTGCAAGGACAGACAGAATGTAGAGTTTGTACTCATGTCTGTATTTCACAGAGGGTAGATGTGGCCATTCCCAAATTGCAACATGAATTTCCACAACCCCTTGAGAGCTGGGTTGGATGTCCATCCATCCATCCATCCATCCATCCATCCATCCATCCATCCATCCATCCATCCATCCATCCCTTCCAGATCTCCTCACACATGGTCTCAGGATGCCCTTCCTGTAGGACACCTCAGATGGGTTTGTAGATAACTGTGCTGCTCTTTGTCACACCACTTAGGCCTTTCTGTGGATTTTCTCACCTCAGGCCCCATGTGGTGGGGCTGAACCAGCAGCACCATTTGCTGTCTCTGACTGCTCCCCAGCTTTCCCCCAGAAGGCTGGTGTGCAGTCAGGGGGACTGGTGGCTCTTCCCTTGAAGACAGTGCCTGGCCTTGTTCATCTGCCCATTGCCCAACCCTGAGGGTGCCTCCCAGCCGCGCCGTGCTGTTGGGAAACGCTGTGATAGCCCCATTACCTTTTGACCTACTTGAGCTCTTCCGTACCCGTTCTGCTAATTACAGCTCACCTTTCACAGGGGAAGCAGGGCTGGTTCAACCACAGCCACCTCCCACACCTTTCCTGGGGCTGCTCAAGCAGGTCCCTGGGAGGGAGGACACACAAACCACATCTTCCTAGTGCTCCCCTTGCCCTAGGCTGTTCCTCCAGCTCCTGGAGCCTCCCATGACTAACAGGTTTTGAGATAATTGTTCCACTCCCTAATCTGATCTGCAGAAGATTCATGACATTGTTTTCAAAGTGCCATAAGCCATTTCCAGGGTCTCTAAGCCCATGAGGGTTGTGATTCATCCGCATGCTGCTGCCACAGGTACTTAATCTTCTCCAAAACAGCAAGTCCTTCTTCCAGGGCTATTATCTCCTCAGGAAACGCCACCCAGGCAAGCGTCTAACAGGCCACTTTTGCCTGTTCAATACTGATGGATATTTGTGCCAGCTCTTGCTTCCTCACAAATGCCATGAGGTACAGTCCTTCCCTGGGAGCAGCTGTCTCAGGAGAGGGGACCATGGGACTGAAGCCTCCTTCAATGTCACTTGAGGGCTGGGTACCCACCATGGACTGTCAAACCCACAGGAAAGCGGACGCTGCACTAAAACACAGGGGGCTCCTTGTTTCCCACACAATGTCCTCAAAGTGCCCTTGAATGGACGGGGGTTCATCCTTCACGGTGAGGATGTGAGACACTGGAGCCCATTGGCATCTGGGGCTGGGGACAGTTCAGGGGTGACAAAGGCTGCTGCACCACCTGGAATTTAACTCTCATTTTGCCCCAAAGCATCTTGCAAAGGACAGTGATTAATTACTCCTGGCACCAAATATTTGTGTCCTACTACTGAACTTTGTGCAGTTGTCTTGGTTCTGGTTGAACTTTGCTACTGTAGTGGGAACTCTGTTATTGTGGCATTCTTCTCCGGGGAGCACAGAACCACGGGTGGCTGTGATTCAGCTAAGCCAGGTTCACCTCCAGGAAGCCTTTCCTGCACCCAACATCCCTGTGATCCTTTCCCAAACCTAAGGCAGGGGAAACTGAGTCTAAAAAAATCCCAGCCTGGAGGCACTTCTCATGGCACAGCCAATCTCAGCCACAGCCTCCATGGAGCCACCTTAGCTCTTTGTTCTGGCATCTTCTTCCTCTTCTTCCCCAGCATTTTCCATTCCTTGTTTCCAGCTTAATTGACAAAGGACTTTTTTTCATCTTTCCTTGTATTTTGAAGCTGTAAATCACAGGTGACCACTGGTGCTCATTGTCTGCTGCATTTGGTGCCATGTTGATGGAATCAGCCTGAGAGCCAGGCTTTGATCCTCCATCTCTAGGGGGTTTCCACACACCTGAGCTGAATGGTGGGCACAGCTCAAAGCTTTCCCCAGCAGCTGGGCAGGACCTCCTTGCTCCTGGGGTGCTGTGGCTGGAGCAGCTGCTTTGCAGAGTACCAGGGCTGCTCCCCAGGAGAGCCTTGCTGGCAGCATGGAGCATCCAGCCAAGCACTGCCCCTGGGTCTGGCTCTTTCCAGACCCCCTTGTCTTTGGAACATTCCTGCCTCTGACTTGTTTTTTCAGGTTGTACATGATCCCCAGGTATTTACAAAACACAGCCCTGTTTCCAGACACATTCATGGCTTTGGGTGGTTTCACTTTCTGCCCTGATGAGGACCTTGTGTCACTGTGCCTGACAGCCTTTGGCAGCCAGGCTTTCTGCACCACAGTTCCCCAAACCAGAGCTGATTTTGGGCTGCAGGGACCTCACTCCTTCAGTGTGGCTGTGAAACAGTGATTCCATCTCCACTAATACTTAGTGTTCTCCTGGGTCATGTGTGATACCATGCCAGGCTTCCTTTGCCATGCCATCACTTCCTTTGCCTCCCATCTCCCATCCCTGCCCATCATAGAGTCTGTATCTCAACACTGGAGGGATGGGGACAGGGGAAATGTGACTACCCCTTGGTCACAGGACAGATGCCAGGGGAAGCTGACTGGGCCAGGTGACATTCTGCTCCCTCTGCTCCTAGGGAAGGTGGCAGTAGGTCACCGCAGCTGTGACCTGGTTCCCATTCCACGCCTCCATCCTGCTGGGGAAGGTGGTTGCAGAATGGAGCATGTTGTCAGCCTGAAGTTGCTTAAGAGGGCTGAGGCCAGGAAGTGGAGTAGGTGTCCTCCAGCTGAGGCAGGAGGAGGAATTTTGGGGGGGGGGGGGGAGATGATCATAATGCTTCTGGGAGGTGGCCAGGGTGCACCAGTATTTGCAAGAAGTGTTCGAGATGGCTCTGACCTGGGAAGAGAAAGGCTGTGCTGTCACTGATGGGAATTGTGCTTTCCACACAAGGTGGTGGGGCTTCATGGCAACCACGAGGCCAGGACCACGGGCAGCCCCCCACCCTGAGCTTGGGGGTGGCACTGGGGACATGCCCATGGAGCATGAAGCTGGAGCCGACCTCAGAGTGTGGCAGTAAACAGGATCCTGTGCTGGGACAGTCCCATGGAAAAGCTGGAATGGAGAAGGCAGGGAATATCTATCACAGTGAGGATGGAAGCTACAGAAGAGCAGAAATGCAACATAAAGGGGAGCCAGGCTCATTCCTGCTGTCCCCTGCTCCTCCTCGCTGCCTGGAACGGGGCCAGGGCAGGATGAGGGCCAGGGACAAGCCGTGGAGACACAGCTGATCACAGGGGACAGGAGCCTGTCCCCGCCGGCCAGACAAACAGCCCGGACCAAGGACGCGGCTGTCATTCACCAGGAGACATGAAAGCGGCAGGCTGTGTCTGTGGGTGGGGGTAGCAGGGTGCAGCCCCGCCGGCTGCCAGCCAGGGGAGAACAACGAAATGAAGCCCATTGTTGTTGGCGAGTCGCTGAAGAGCGGCGGGACACGGGGCATCCTTTCGGGACGGGAAGCGTCCCTTAGGGTGGCCTCGCCTGCGTGTGGCCACCGTGCCCCCTCGTGGCAGCAAGGCACAGCTCGTGGTCCCGGGCCGGCTGGGCAGGAGCCACGCAGGCATGGAGGCACGGATGGGGATGGAGGAAGGAATGGAGGTGCTGGGTGCCATGGGGTGCCCTGGCAGGGTCACTTCATCCCACCGCGAGAAGTCCACTGGGGGGGGCAGCACCCCAAGCCCATCGCTGTTGATGCTGCCTAAGGCCACATGTGCCTCCCAGGTCCTCACCAAGCCTCGTCCGACTGCCCCAAACCCCCCTTAGCTTGCAAAGGTGCCTCCAGCATCCTGCCACCCCCTCTCCTTCTCAGGGGTCACCCCTGCTGGTCATATTTTTGGCATAAATGACTTGTGCTGAGGCCAAGCCAAGCACTTCAGGCGCCGCTCAAGGGCAGCGTGTGTCCAGAGCCAGGCTGGGAATCCTGGAAATAACACCAAGGCTGAAAAGAAAAAAAAGGTGGAAAAACCCAAACACATTCCCCTGCACCCTGCCTCAGTTTTCCCCAGCAAGCCCTCAGGAGTAACAATCCTGGGGCTGTGACACATGCAATGTCATTTTAGGTACCTTGAGTAGGTGCAGGGGGTCAGGAAGATGCTTTCTCAGCCCCTTCTCCTTCCTCCTGTGGCTCATTGTTACCTGTCATAACCTCTTTGTCCTCTCTTTGCAGCCCCAAGTCAAGCACCCAGAGGCCAGGAAAGCCAGACCGTACCTTGAGGCACTTCTGGGACACTTGCAGCTCTCAGTGTGGCATCTTGCTGCTTTCAGGGCCGCTCAGGAAGATCTCAGACACCACAAACTGGGGCAGGCTGGCATGTCCAGCCTCATGGGAGAGGAACAACCCTGGGCAGAAATAGCCAGGAGGAAAAAGCTGCCCTGCCCCGTGGAGTTTTTCTTCATTCCTTGAAGGCCACAGGGACCTGCTGTGCGGGATTCAGGGCTGGAGGCAACGCCAGGGCAGCGCCAAGGTGGAGCTGTCGTGATGGATGATGTGACATCATTCCCAAATGCCTCTTCCACAGGTGAGAGTGCCCAGAGCACTGGCAGAGGGGGATGCTGAGAAATAGTACCCACTGTGAGGAGCATTGCACCCAGTGTGGGGTTTAACTTGTGTCTGGCATGGCATGAGCCACACTGGGACAGGAGGTGGCAGGAACATCTCCCAGGCTCCCATGATGGGGACAGGCAGATGCTGGCCTTGGTGCGTTTACAGGAACAGACAGCCTGTCTTTGCCAGGCACTGGTATTTCCGAGGCTTGCAGCTGGGGAACACACGGCTGCTGTGCCCTGGACCTGCTCCTAGAGGGGAACAACCACCCTGCCTCTGACCCAGGTCTGGGTCTGGCTAAACCCCCCAGGAGAGGTTTGTAAAGGAGAGATAAAGTGTGAGACAATTTTACTGTGCTGTGGCCTTGTACTCGAGCCACTGCTCCTGTCCTTGAGCGAGCAGCCTTGAGACTGGCAGCAGTCCTTGCTCCTTCTGGAAAAGTCCCCCAGCTGTCCTGGTACAGAGGGGATCATGCTGTTCCCAGAGGGACAATGGTGCCTACAAGCCACAGGGCTGGCTGAGTGCTTGCCCCAGGCAGCAGGGTTGGGGTTGCAGGAGAAGGGATACTGACTTGGCCAGGGAGGGAGTATCACATCATTCTGGCCTCTCAGGTACAGGAATAAGGGATGCCGGCAGCATATCAGATCATTTTATTACCACAGCAGCTGTGGGCCAGACTCAGCTCCAGAGGGCATCTGAGTCCAGCCCCTTGACTGCTCTAATACTGTTGAGAAGATGAACCTCGAGCCTCCAAGCACAAGTGCTGAGCATCCTCCATCCCGGTCACCATGGAGCAGCTCTGGGCATCACTGCCATTCTGCTCCCTGCGCCTCTGGGAGCTGGAGGCCAGCAGGGAAAAGTGAGGCGAGGCCAAAGGTGCAGAGTGTGCCTTTCCTAGGACCGCAGGGGCTGCCACCACGTCCTGCCCCGGGGCTGCTGGCAGTGGGGAGCAGCCAGAGCCCCCTCAAATCTCCATGCCAGGCACCCGCCCCAGGCCCAGGGCCTGCACCAGCTCTTCGGTGAGGCCGCTCTTCAGCGTCCGCCGCACTGCGGGAAGAGCAGAGTGTGGCACTGCCAGCGTGAGCAGCACTGGGTGCCAGAGTCCCCACACATGGGGGCCTGCTCAGGCAGGAACAGGGTAATGGGGTGCACTGGCATGGACTGGTCTCAGGGTACATCCAGTCTGGTGGGCTCAGCAGGGCAGGCCATGGGGAAGGAGCCAGACAGGGCATGGGAACAAGGACACAAAGGACAAGGGACAGAGCACAGAGACATGGCGATGGAACAAAACAGTGGCGGGGACAGAGATGAGAAGGAGTATGGGGATTGGGTAGAGCCTGGGAAGAGAGATGGGACAGGGCATGGCAATAGAGACAAAGAGATGGGAAAGGGTAAGGGGACAGGGATACAGAACTGGGAAAAAGCATCTGAGCAGGGACACAGACATGGGACAGGGACATGGAGATGGGACAGTGTACAGGGACAAAACATGGAACAGAGATGGAACAGGACACAAGGACACAGGGATGGGACTTACAGGACTTCCTATTGCCTCGGGACCTCCTGCGCTCCTTGTTGGGGCAGGGTCGGGGGTTGGGATTGTGTGTCACTGATTTCACCAGCTGGTCCATGATTTCATCTGAAGCATCATCAGGTGAGCTGGGAACATCATCCTGGGCTGGAGAGCCGTGGGTCGGGGTGCCATGCCCTGTTCCTGCATGGGGACAATGAGGATGCTGGCACCAGTTGCTCCCAGCCAGCTGGGCATGTCTTGAGTTCCTCAGCCATCCTGCTCCTACCCTGGCTGGCTCGGCTGCGGCGGGCAGGGATATCTGTGGGGGAGGTCAGCACAATCTTCATGCACTCGTGACCCGCTTCCATCTGCTCCCTGGGGCTGCTGGATAACACGGCAGGCGGCAGAACTGCCTCGGCAATGCCGGAGAATTTCTCAGTCTGCAATGGGAGGAGAGGTTGGTGTTGGGGACATGGGGAGCATCGCCTCCTGGTGGCACCCAGGCGAGTGTCCCCGTACCTCGGTGATGAGCCGGCCCCGGGTTTTGTTGCGCTCACGGTGGGCAGCGCGTTTCTTCTGCTGCAGCAGCACGCGCTCCCAGCAGGTGCGGTACTCCAGGGCAAACTCCTGCAGCAGTTTGCAGATGGATGTCACCTTCACATCCCGCACCGCGCTCGCTGGGTAGCCCAGGTACAGCAGGAAGGAGTGAAACCTACAGGAACATCAGTCACGGAGGGCCACCAACAGGACTGCAAGGTTCCTGCTGTGTCCCCAAGCCACCAACCTGTTGAGGACACGCCTGTGCACCACCTTCAGGACGATGATGCGCTGGGTGCTCTCCTTGAGGAACTCTGTCAGCTTGGTCTTCAGCACTGGCTTGGTCTCATGCTTGGCAATCACCTTCAGGTTGTGCCAGGAGGCCCTGCACCTCCGTTCCAGCTGCACCAGGCTGTTGGCCAGCTCTTCAAAGTCAATCTGGAAGAGTGAGATGTCAGTCCTTGGCCATGCTGGTGTAGCTGGGCAGCCACAGGACCCACACCCTCCGTCTGCCCGGATGTCACCTGCCTTGCCTCACCTTGGCGGAGCGGGTGATGGAGGCAATTTCTGAGTAGAGGTCAGTGGTTTCTGGGAACTTCTCTACCACCATCTGGCAGAGATGGTAGAGCAGGGACTGCCGGTGCACTGTGTCCTTCACTTCCGAGACCTTCGCCAGGTAGTCAAGCTCAAAGGCTCTGCTCTGAAACCCAATGGACTCAGCAGGGACTCTCATCTCTAATCCAGCAGACCTCCAGTCTGCAGATCCACTGGGTCCCCACCAGCACCTCCCAGCTTCCCACAGACCCTTCTAGGTGCCCACAAACCATGGCTGGTCCTCACCCTGCTCCTCACCTGGGAACCATTCAAGAAGTTGCCCATTGCCAGCAGTGTGGCCAAGATGCACTTGAATGTGTGATTTCTGGCCAGCTGCTCCATGCCTACCTTCAGATCAAAGAGCGGCTCTGCGATCTCCTGCGTGAGGGAGAAGCAGGTGAGATCCCTTGGCCACCCTCTCCCTTGGGAGCTTCAGCATTCACCCACGAGGACAACCACCTCCTGATCAATCCAAGCCCTTGCTTGCCTTGGGGGTCTGCAGCCCATCCCCAGCCATGCTGGGGCACCTCCCATGTTTGGATATGACTGGTCCTCACCAGAAACATGCTTGGCTCAGTGCTTAGCACTGCTGGGGTGTCAGCAGTGGGAGGGCATAGGGGAGATGGGGTACATGGCTCCCTACCTGCTCCAGGCTCTCATAGTCCAGCTTGAAGGCCCAGAGCTGGAGCCTGGCCGTGAGGTCACTGATGGAAGACAGGGAGAGCAGAAACTGCTCTGCAGAGCCCAAAGGCACATCAGGATTGGCCAACTGGGCCTCCTGGATCTTCTGTTTTTCCTCCTCAGTTGGGACCATGGTTAGGATTTTCTGGAGCAGGGAGAGGGATATGTCAGATGACATACATAGGGTGTGTCACCCCAGGCATCATGGCATGGATGTCTCCTAGCCTGGGGAAATGACCTGCTGAGACCTCAGAGGAGCTGAGCCTGCTTCTCTTGTGCTCACCTCAATCCCTTCCTTACTGACTGCAAACTCATCAAAGTTGAGCACGGCTGTCTTGATTATATGGACGGGTGGCAGCACAGTGAGGCCAATGTTGATGGCATTGCTCCTCTTGGGGTCCAACACCACCACCACCTTCTTCCCATCAATGGCTTTCTGCAAAGAGGGCAGGATGGATGGGGACAGCCAGGCAAAGGGCTTACCTTCATGAACTTATGAACAGAGGGAACCAAACACAGACCAGGCAGTGAGCCAAACCAAATCTGTGCACTGCCCATAATCATTCCCACTGAGCCTCCAGGCTTCTGGTGCCCATCCTTGAGATAGGGTAGGGGTAACAGGGTCCCCACGGGAACTCACAGCCTTCCTCCCACCCCTCAGTGCCCCTCGGCCAATGGGTACCCATTGGTACCTTTGAGGTTGGCGCTTCCTTTGACCGTGACTCAAAGAGATGCTCCAGTTTCGCAGTATTGACCTCTACATTCTGCAGGGATGCCCAAAGTGTCCCCTGGCCAAACCTGCCACTTCCCACAGTCCCATCCAGCTGCTTCAGCTCCTTCCAGAAGAGCTTCACTGTCCTCTTCTTCTTAGCCTCGGAGGGGCCATCTGTTGTTGAGGGACCTGGCAGCCCCGGTGGGGGTGGGCAGCCAGGGATGGCAGGAGGTGGAGGTGGTGGAGGTGGTGGGCAACCAGGGAGGGCAGGAGGTGGAGGTGGTGGGCAACCAGGGAGGGCAGGAGGTGGAGGGGGAGCCATGAATGTTCCAGCACTCATTGCTTCAATGCCAGGATGGAGGAAAGATCCGTTGGTCATTGGCCCTGTGTCCAGGATGTCAAAATCTTCTTCATCCCCCAAGTCAGTGAAATCCATGTCCTTGATCTTCAGCTGCACAGGGACGGTCTCCAGGCGCTCCCATGTCAGCTCTGTGTCCTTTTTGATGGGCATCATTCCAGTGTTCTCCAGCTTCTGTGTGTGGGTCTCATCATCTATGCTGGACATGGCACGTACCAGCTTGGCATGGGCGCTGGCTACTGGCCCGTCTGGAGCCCTGCCACAGGGCCGGGCACTCTCCTGCTCCTGGCTGCTGCTTCCCTTGGTGTCCATCTCCACCTCACCCTGGATCTGGGGGGATAAAGGCATTTCATGGAGCACCTTCTCCCTCCCCGACTCCGAGGAGCCCTTGGCATAGAGCATGTCCAGCATAAACTTGGTGTCAGAGGAGATGGTGCTGCAGGAGTCAGTGATGTCAGATCGAGGCAAATGAGACCCTGCAGGGAGAGAGGAAGAAGCTGGAATAATCTGTTTGGAAGGGGCAGGTAGTGCTGGCTCACTGCAGAGTTGGAGTCCTGCTCTGCAGTGAGGTGTGCTCAG